CGCATGGCAATTTACTTTAATTATGAACGTAACTATTTGTAAAACAGATGTGAAAGAATTGCGAAAACCCCAGCCGGAACTGTTTTATAAGGCTTAAAATTTCGTGCCGGAAATGGCCCGTTCGGATAATCTCTTTTTTTTTCTACCACATGATTGCTGCCCTTGGTATAAGCCGGCAGCATATTTATACCAGCCTCCTATAACCGAAGTTTTTTTCCACATTAACAGGGAATTGATTTTAATTAGTTTTTAATCTTTAAATTAGACTACTAAAACTCTTTGTTTATGGGAAATACCACTCGCCGGCAATTCATGAGCCGGTTCACCTCCGGGCACAGCAGCCAACTGCAGTCCACTGAAACCCCCTCCCAAACCATAGAAAGAAGTTTTAAGGAAATCCTGGATCCCGACAGCAGTTTAAGTGCAACCGGTGCCCAGTCTGGTATCAGTCAGTATACTGGTGCGTGGACAGAGGCAGAAATGCTGCACCTGCTGCGGCGGCTCACTTTTGGTGCACCAAAATCATCGGTAGACCAGATTAAAGGGATGTCTATGAGCGCAGCCGTAGATTTTCTGATTGATAACCCGGTACAGCCTGCTACTACACCCGTTAATAATTATACCGTTGGTACGGATACCGGCGGGGTTGCTTTTGGCAGTTCGTGGGTAGACGCGGGTTTGCCTGATCCAACCGACAGCACCATCCGGAATACGCTGAACAACAACCGGCGTAGCAATTCTTTTAAACCCTGGTGGATGGGGCAGATGATTAACCAGCAAACGCATATTCTTGAAAAACTCACCTTATTCTGGAGCAATCATTTTGGCACGGATACAGAAGACAACAATCGCCCAAAAGCTTTTTTTCAGCATTATAAATTATTGCGCACCTATGGTCTTGGCAATTATGGCGAGTTGCTTAAACAGGTAACGCTTGATCCGTACATGCTGTTTTTTTTGAACGGCAATTCCAATACCAAGGGGGCACCCAATGAAAACTATGCACGTGAACTGCAGGAATTGTTTACCATTGGCAAGGGGCCCGATTCTCATTACACAGAAAATGATGTGCAATTGGCAGCCAAAGCGCTAACCGGCTGGCAGGTAAAACAAAGTGCGGTAGACGGTACCTGGTCAAGCTATTTTACTGCTTCCCGGCATGATACGACTGCTAAGGTTTTTTCGTCTTTTTACGGAACGCCTCCCAACAACACAATAGCTGCCAATGGAGGTGCGGGCGAAGCAGCGGATTTGCTTGCCATGATTTTACGGAACAATGAATGCGCTAAGTTCATTGTACGCCGTCTCTATATCTGGTTTGTGTATTACAATATTACGCCCGATATTGAAGCAAATGTGATCTCGCCGCTGGCGGATATTTTCCGCAACAGCAATTACAATATTCCGGTTGTTTTGAAAGCGCTTTTTAAAAGTGAACATTTTTTCGATCCCCTGAACCGTGGTGGCATTATCAAGAGTCCCGTAGATCTGTATGTGGCCATGGCGAGGGAATTCAAAATAACCCTGGCCGCGGCGCCGGTAGATATACAGTATGCCCACTGGAAAAACTTCAGCGACCGCTGCGCCAATCTTTCTGAAGGACAGAATATCGGTGACCCGCCGACGGTGTCTGGCTGGTCTGCTTATTACGATGCGCCCCGGAAATATTATCAATCCTGGATGACAGGAGCTTCTGTGCAGATTAAAGCGAAAAACCTGAAAGCATTCAACAGTAAAAATGGGGTTACGGTAAGTGGTGTAAAACTGCAGGTAGATCCCATTGCTTTCAATAAGCAGTTTGCCAGCCCGGGAGACCCCGATGTGGTAGTAGCCAGCTTTATAAAATACCTGCTGCCGGTTGATCTTACCCCTGCGCAGAAAACGGTAATGAAAAACATTCTGCTGAAAAACCAGGCAACCGACAGTTACTGGACCAGTGCGTGGTTTGCTTACGAAGCCAATCCCACCAACCCCACCGCTATGGGGCTTGTACAGACCATATTGTATGATCTGCTCACCTATGTAACGGGCCTGCCGGAGTATTACCTGTATTAAATTAATCAGCTTAAAAGCAACACATGAAACGCAGACATTTTTTAAAAACAGCGCCGGTATTTACGCTTCCGTTGCTGATAAAAGGTTTCCCTGTTGAAGCCATGAACAGCAACCCACTACTGAAATTGCTGGGCGAACAATCTCTAACAAACGGCAGGGTGCTGGTACTGGTTCAGCTGAATGGGGGAAACGATGGTTTAAATACGGTTATTTCGTTAGACAGGTATGCAGAACTTACCAATGCCAGGGCCAATATATTATTACCTGCAGATAAAGTACTTACGTTGAACAATACCAATGCTACAGGGCTGCATACTGTTATGACCGAAATGCAGGAGATGTACAATAACGGGCTGATGAATATTGTTCAGGGGGTGAGTTATCCCAATCCTAATTTTTCTCATTTCAGGGCTACCGATATATGGTTAACGGGCTCTTCTTCCAATCAGTATCTAACTACGGGCTGGCTGGGCCGCACGGTTGACCAGCAATATCCCGGCTACCCGGATCCGGCATCGCTGCCCAATGCAGATCCGCTGGCGGTTCAGATAGGATCTCAATCATCATCCATGATGCAAACCAGCCAGACCAATGCAGCGTTTACTGTAACAGATCCCAATTCATTTAATGATTTTGTAAATGATGTGGTACCGGTAATGCCGGATACCCCTTACGGAAGGGAAGTTACTTTTTTGAGAAAATTGCAGCAGTCAACAGAAGAATATTCCAATGTCATCAAAACAGCCTATGGCCTTGGCGCCAACCTGGCCGGCTACCCCGCCAATAATTCATTGGCCAATCAATTGAAGATTGTGGCCAGGCTTATCAAAGGCGGGTTAAAAACACCGCTCTACATTGTTAATCACCCCAATAGTTTTGATACCCATGCTGCACAGGTAATTGCCACCGACCATACTACCGGCTACCACGCCAATGCACTGGGGGTACTTTCCAAAGCCATTGGTGCATTTCAGAAAGATTTGGATCAATTGGGGATTAAAGACCGGGTTACCGGAATGACCTTTACTGAATTTGGACGCCGCATTAAATCCAACGCAGATGCAGGTACAGACCATGGTACTTCCATCCCCATGTTCTTTTTTGGAACCAAACTGAACCCGGCGCTCACCGGTACCAGTCCGGTATTGCCGGCCAATGCGGGCACCAACGACCAGATACCCATGCAGTTTGATTTCAGATCCGTTTATTATACAGTGTTGCGCGAGTGGTTCCAGTTAACAGATGGAGATCTCAGCAATGTGTTGTTTCAACCTTACCCGGCCCTGCCTATTTTTAACCAGCTGGCATTACCGGTAAACATATTGTCATTTACGGGTAACTGGAAGAATGCGGCGGTGTCATTACAATGGACTACAGACAAGGAAATCAATATTGACTATTATGAAATTCAGCGCTCAGACGATGGCGTAAACTACAGCAAAAAAGGAACGGTTATTTCACTGAATATTACCAATAAGCACGAGTACAGTTATTATGACAATAACCTGCAGCAATCGTTTTATTATTACCGGATCAAAGTGGTAGAAAAATCCGGCCAGATCAAATACTCAAATACACTGCTGCTGAAAGACGCTCAGGTGGTAAAAGGTGTGCGGGTAAAAATTTTGCCCAATCCCATTGATAACTGGTTTACGGCTTCGTTCCAGGACAAGGTGACCGGCAATATTACCGTGCGCATGCTTGATTTGTCGGGCAGGGAAGTATGGAAGGGAGAGCAGCTGGCCAATGATACCTTTAACCTTACCTTCACCATAGATAAACATGTAATGCCCGGGGTTTATGTAATACAGGTGCGCGATAAAGAATACGAAGCATCCACAAAAGTTTTATTGCGCTAAGTCTTTTGCCTTTATGACCAGTACAGGGGTTGCGTCGCAGGGATGCAGCCCCTTTTCGTGAGTGGTGAGTGGTGAGTGGTGAGTGGTGAGTGGTGAGTGGTGAGTGGTGAGTGGTGAGTGGTGAGTGGTGAGTGGTGAGTGGTGAGTGGTGAGTGGTGAGTGGTGAGTGGTGAGTGGTGAGTGGTGAGTGGTGAGTAATTTTTGGAACATGCAAGATACCTCATTGACTGGATTGTTGGTTTGGCGAGGAAGCTCCAGCGGGGCCTGATATTTAGCCCGGGGTAGGCGTAACAGAAGATTTTGCAATCCTGAAAGCCCGCCCGAATGGTTCAGACGGGGTTAAGTGTTT